AAACAACATTTGCCTGAGCATTACATCCGAATCCACTAGTTTTTTCGGGTGTTTTGWCTGACTCGGGACTCGAGCACAGGACGATCTGTCTAGAAACCACTGGACTTTGTGTAATACTGTATTTAGGCATACTAGGCTTTGACCCGGTGACTTGCTGGTTTTCCAAACACTTTTTTGTAGTGCTACTCTGGACTTGAACATGTGATTACCCGTTCGGAATTTTTTGATCGTACGCAATGCTGTAATAACCCTGTTCAGAAGTAGCCTGGGGCCCAGAACTCAGCCCCAGGCCACGCAGACCTGAGAAGGTCTGCGCTGGGCTGTGTGACCAAGACACGCCCAGGCCTGAGTCTGTCGAGTGTGGCTGTGTGACAACACGCTGCACACAGGAAATTCAAGAGTCAAAGTCAACTGTAGAGTCAAAGGTACGGCACCCAGGCCCTGGGATGGATACACTCACTTGTTGTGCGCAGGTACCCAGACAGCATCCAGGCCGGAGGGAATTCGGTTTCAGGCCAATCTGAGCCCTCATTCGTATTGAGATCTGGACGGCCGAGGGATAGAGCAGCCGGGGTCCAGACCCCGCGTCAACACTACATAAGAGTTGACTTCCTGGCTTTGACATTCATTCTTGCTGTCTTGCGTTGACGCTGCTTCAACGCGTGACTCCGCGGTGTTGGCTTGACGCTGCGACACTGGACAAGCGCTGACATTAGGCTGGCATTGGCGAGATAGCGGCAAGGCGCTGCTGGCTGGTACGCTGACTGGCTACATACTGTCTTCCAGGCTTGCTGACGTGGCAGCTGCCACGCATTGCTGCTGACGTGGCTGCTGCCACGTGTGATATCGCCAGGTCCAAGGGACCGGCATCGCTGTTCTTTTTGCGTCATCACTTCAAGGAGAGATCAAGGCTGTTGTATCATCACTTCAGGAGGAGATCGGGACTGTGAGGAGGTTGTGATACGTACCTGGATTCTTCATGTTGACAAGGCTCCAGCGCTGATTATGGTCTGATAAGGTGCCACGTGGCACATTGTGACAGGACTTCTGTGTTCAGATTACTGGTTACCGTGAGGTGGCGATCAAGGAAGGAGCCCGGAGAAGGAGTGGGCATTGTGACTTCCTCTCTCTTGTCTTTCCTCCCTCCTTCCTCTTTGTCTGTGTATGATTATCTCACCTCTCTCCTTCTGGATACTGTTTGATTATTGGAACTATCAGCGGCTCGATAGTCGACATTCGTATTCATGACTTGGGTTCATTGCAATGCTATTTTAGGACCGGTAAGGCCTCGAACTGACGACTTAGTTTTTTCGAACTTCTGTCAGGACTTGGTGTAGACTGTGTACTTTTTTTTGGACTGCTGTGAAGCATACGTAGGTGTAAGTACGCATAGCATAGTTAGTTTTTTACATCCTGCGCTGGGTACGACCCCTGGCGACGCCGGATGGGCGACTGACAAAAACATGTTGGGTCTCTTCGCTCGACATCTTGGACTTCATGACTGTCTTTCGTAATACCTGCGCTCGGGTTTTGTTCTCTATCTCTTGAGTAGTGTGCTTTCTGTATGCTGCTTTCAGTGTGTTTGAGTGTGAACGCTTTGACTGATGTATGCTGCGTTAGTCCACGCATGAACCGACGTAGCAATAGTACTACGGGTGTGTGAGTGCGATCGATTACCACATCTTCTCTACTTTTTTTTTTTCCTCCACTGCTTTCATTATCTCTTCTCATTTATTTTGGTTCTTTCTCTAGAATCGTCTCTGTGTCACTTCTGTCTGGTATTCTCTCGTATCCATGGAACGGCCAGTGTGCCATTATTGTCGCCGACCGGGTCACTTCATTCGGGACTGCCGAACACGAATGAGGGACATGGAACAACAATCTAGACAAGCGAACGGCAATCAAGCCTCGATTTCGAATTCAGCACCGATTCAACCGGCTCAGGGTGCTATTGTACCATACCAAGCTCCATCAAACGATGTACGTAACAGCCAAGGATCGGGGAACGGTTATGGTGGCTTTAATGGAGGTTACAACGGCGGGTATGGCGGCTATAACAACTACAACAACTATCGAAGACCTTGGAACCAAGAGCCAAGGGATAAAAATGATAAGGTGGATAAGATGTGGAGCTGGATGTCCGAAGAAATGGAGGAGAGGGACAGGATCAAGAAGGAGAAGGAGATAGCCGCTAAGAAGGAAGAAGAAGAAAGGAAGGAGGAAGAAGAAGAGAGAAGACTTGCTGAGGCAAAAGACAAAGAGGATTTCAAGACAAGTATCGGTAAGATGGTTGGAACACAGATGAGGAGTGTTTGCGAGGAGGTCCTTGGACGAAAAGTTGGCGATGGCGATTGATCTGTTGCTGCGGTAACGGCTGAAATCCGACGGAGAACGGAAGAGGAGACACGGAAGAAGCAACAAGGTGACGAGCTTGGAAAAAAGGATGAGGAAATTGTGAGACTTGAACAAGCTATGGCCGAGATGCAGAGACACTCAAGTAGGCCTAACCCGCCTGACCAGGAGCTGACGACATTAAAGATGGACAATCAACATCTCATCCAGGACGTTATCAGTCTTAAGCAGCAGGTGAGCGAGTTAGTAAAAGTGGTCAAGGCACCTATTCAGGCGGCAACTGCATGTCAGACGAAGGCTAAGGAGAAGGTGGGGAGTGAACCCACCCCAGGGGACTACGTTAAGCTGGCGGAGGCTTATAGAAGGATGCGCGACAAGGATATGGTGGACCGCGAAGTCCAAGCGCTGAAGGAAAGGGTTAGCAGAATCGGGTCAGCGATGGCTACCCCGATTTCTGCAAAGAGAAAACGAATTATGCGGAAGAGTGTCTCGCCACCCTCCACCTTACGTATCCGACTAAGTACTGCTGGTAGTCCGATGAAGAGTGGTGAGCTGCATGGGAGGGGACAGGCGAAGGTGAAGTTCGTCAAGTTGAAGGATGAGAAACGAGAAGATTTCAGGGGACGAGTGAGTACTGAACTCTCCAAGTTAAGAAAGAGGGATATTGAGAGGCTGTGCTGTGACGAAGGGCTTGAGTATGTGACTATTAGAGCCTCGGCTGCTGAAATTGCCGACATCTACGCCGACCGGGCATTCAGAAAGAAGAACGTTCTACCCGCTGTCGAGAATGCCGATGTACCAGAATCCTCCGAAGATCGGGTTGCACCAGAAGATCAGGATGACCACAACAAGGCCGAAGAGAATGACGAAGATGATGCTGTTATCGACTGTTAGGACTGGCCATCGAGCGTGGGAGAACTTCGCGAACTCGCTCTGGCTTGTAGAGATGCACGCGATTGTCGAAGCTTCCAACGGGATGGTAAGCTTGATGGAATGTTTAGACTGGTAGTCATCTTTCTGATCTTGTTGAGGCAGATACCCTGGTGTTGCAAACTCATCCCGTACCTCCATTATTTATTCTCGATAGGATATGATTTCACCACTTGTCCTGGTCCTCTGATCTACGTTTTGGTTTCCCCTTGGTGCAAACATATGTATGGAGGGTGTACGTCTCGGATGCTGAAATATAGATGGACCGAACATCTTTACCGAGTTAATGGGTCGCTCAATAAAGACACTAGGAATCATCGGTTGTACCGATGGTTACGTCGTGGGAAGGTTGGCAGTTACGTGGCGATCCCTATTGCGGTACCTGGTCTGGGGCAACTACTGGATATTGAATCTTTCTTCATACGATCTTTCAATCCTTTTCTTAATTCTATCCCAACACAAGGGAGACGACGTGAGAGGAGAAGGAAGAGGTTGGGAAAAAGCGAGAGAAAACGACGTGGAGATTTCCCTCGTATATCTTATGTAGCGGCTAAGTCGTTTGTGCTTTTTGAAATTGATGCGGGTGACCAATTTGTCAGTCTTCGTCGTTTACTCGACCACTGTTTTGACAAACATGTTACGACTGAGAAGGTAAAATGCTCAGGAGGCGAGATTTTAGCTGAGAACTGAAAGGTTCTCAAGAGGTGTTACGGATCTTCTGTTGTGAGAGTTGGACTGGAGGTTGAGCTTCTACGGCGCTGCAAGGGTTTATTGGTATTAGGGGTTGAGTTGCTTTTCGAGAAAATCCCTAGATTCTGCTCACGATTTGACAGATTGAAGAGTGGTCTCACTAATCTTCTGAAGTGCCCCTCAGCATGCAGGAAACTCTATCAGGAGCCGCTTGATAGGCTCTTATCGCTTTATAACTGCATTCGATGTTTTTCAAAGAAAGAGAGTAGAGCAAAATTGAGGGCGATTGTAGCCCGAGTGGTAAAATGTAAGTTCTCTCTTAAGATTAGAATCAGGGCTACTGTTAAGATTCTGTTTGACGATTCTCTGTCTAAAAAAAGAGTTCGAGATGTGTGTCTCTCAACTTTTCGATTGTCCTCTATGAGAGATTCACTTAAACAGATGGTTGGCAGGAAACTTAGGGTAGTATGGGTTAAGAATAAATCAGTAGGTGACCTCTTACATAACTTTCGGGCTTCCTCGCAATGGAAGGATCTGGTATGTACCTGTCAGGACTTGGAACTGCCGAAGACCAATGGACACGTTTCTTTCCGGTTTAGCGAAGTGGACTGGGTTCCGGATATTGCTAAGAATAGTAGGAATGTGCTGTCTCCCGGTTTTCATTGTGATCATATGAAACTGAAAGGGTGCATACTGGAGGGTCTAAAATCTGTTCAGAATGACACGACTTTTTTTTCCATATCTGCTGCTGATCTACGTAGATGCTTTACCCGAGACCGTCGGTCTTCACTATCGAATACTGGAGAACGAGAGGACATCTCTAATCTGGCACGAATACTGGAGAAATTGGTTGTTTGCCCGATCGATCACAATTCGGGTGACTCGTATGTGTGTTGTCCTGCAGTGTTTAAAATAGGAATAGAGACCCTGTTTACCAGGAACAAAGGGTTTACTTCGACTCAATGTGAAGAATCGCGGGTGGTGAGGGTGATTCATGAGAAGTTTAAGCAGGCAGGAATGCACAGGTTTGCACTGTTTAATCGACAAGGGAGGATGGGCAGAACTTATGTGATTCCGAAACATAAAGATACTGCAAAATGACGACCAATATGCCCTTTTTTCTCTGACCCTCTTGTACGTCTGAGTAGAATGGTCTCTTAGTTTGTCAACCAGATGCTGTGGAAACTTCCAGATGGATCACACTTTAACTTAAAATGCCCTAATGACATGATCGAGAGATTGGACAACTTCAACTGCTCTATTGGAACTAACGAAGAAGTTATTACTTCATGTTTTGATGTTAAGGAAATGTTTACTGCCCTGCCGCACTCATCGATTCTAAAGGCAGTGGAATGGTTGGTATGTGTATTTGAGGATAAAGGTTACACTGATGTCTTTGTTAAAATCAGAGGTAAATGCAATGAGCCCAGACGTGATGATACTCGTCAACATTACCAGTCCATATGATTATCGATCTGCTGATGAATGACAAACAATCGCAAATGTGTGTG